GCAGCACAACTCAAAGGCAATAGGGTGGGAAGGGATTGGAGCAGCCTCCCCTGTGCCACATTCCCTGTCTCAAAGTAGCACCTGCTCCTTCCTCCTCCAAACACCACGTTTCTGTGTGGGCAGAAGCCAAATTAGGGGAATTGAGAGCATGTAGGAAATTCGCTGACCTTCCATGCTGTAGATCTGCAAAGACCAAACCCGTGCTGCCAATGGAGTTGAGAAGCCGGAGCACGCCTGTGTGGAAGCTGGAGAATAGTCCCCCTGCAAACATGGATGGGCCATGGAGCAGGCAGGGAAGCATTTAGTATTGATACATATCATTTCCATGCTAAACAGTGCTCTGAATGCTGGGAGCCACTCGAGGGGGAGCTGGAGCAGGGAGTTGTGCTGGGCAAAGGGGATTTTGCAGCCCTCGTGGCACTCTTTGTCTTCAATGCTTTACTTATCACTTCCCCATCAGGAGGGTTTTTTCTCTTTTCTGTATGCTGGAGAGAGCAAAAAGAGCAGCATCTGCTTTCTGCAGTTTTTCTTTATCAAGCCTTTCTCATTGTGAGCCTGGAAGAAATATTATGGCCACTGACTAGATGAAAACCTGGTGGGACAGAGCTCCAAATTCTGCCAGTGGCAGCAGAGGGGTGAAGCCCAGGGAGAGGTCCAGGAGCATCCGACAGCCTGGCTGAGCGTCTCCTCATCTGACGGCAGTGCCAGACCCCAATGTCATCCTGCAGCATCAACCCAACCCATGGGACAACGAGGGCTGAGCTCCTGGTTGTAGCAAGATTTCTGAGAGAGAGGACGTGATTTATATTTAGAGTGAAGGTTGAGTAACCCTCGGCCTAACGCCCCAGATATGGGCCTCAGCGAGGCCTTTGAAATTTATGACGCAGTTAGGAATTAGTCTGTGGTGCAGTTAGAAATTATGTTAAGGTGTGACCACAAAGTAATGAGCTCTCTGGGTGTGAATTAGTATAGGTCTGCAGTGTGAAACTTTAGCCACCTTAAGACAAAGACAAACAATGTTTGCTGGCCAATGATAGTGTGTTCCCAATTTGTAAACTATATTGAAGTGTATATAAACTGACATCTTATAAACAATAAACGGAGAATGTAGCATTAACCATATTGGCTCGATCTGCATTTGTCCTGTCCAGCATTCCCTATTTTATAAGAACTCTCTAGCTTCTCCTGGTGATACCGGTGCACCCTCCCTGTGGCAGGACTGGTGGGACCCACTGGGTTTGGCATCTGGTGGGATCCTGTCATGCTCTAACAGGAGTGCCAAACAGCATCCCACCAAGTGCCTTGGAGAAAGGTGGAGATATTAAATCCAGCCTGAAGCAGTCACATCACAGAATGATGTACCTCTGTCTGGCTACACCATTTCCACTAATCTTTCTTGGGTTGGTTATTAACGGCATTGCTGTGGGTTTGTTTTGCTGGTGGAGAGTATCATCATTGTCACTCTCTGGCCCTGCTGACTTTTAATTACTCACTCTTCCTATTTGTGGTCCCTGAGCAATGTCTGTCCATCCCCCAAAACAGACCCTGAAATGCAGGAGGGGAACTGAGGCAAAAGAGTATGCAAAGAAAATGGAGTTTGTGCCCAGCCCTCCCAGTCCCCATGAGGGGTTGTGATAGCTGCATGAGCAGCCAGGGACATTAGTACTGTGCAAGCTCCATTTTCCTGTGCTGCATTGTTCCAAGTGAAGCTTTTCCTGTTCCAGACATTCACGCAGCTTCTCACCTCGGTGGCTAACAGGGAGAGCACTTGCAATTTAACTTTGTCCTTAGTTCAAGTAACTACTGGTTGTTTTTTCCTTACAAGGATGAATGTTATCATAAAATTTTTAACTGTGACCCTCTATTTCTCTGTCAAATTTGGGTCAAAACAACAAAGGAGCTCAGTAAATTCAAATGGATGCAGAAAAGCACAGACACACATGTGATAAAAGGCACCTTGTTTCCTGCAAAATACAGACTTAAAGCACAGCTTAAAGGGAAGGTTGCCACAGCAACCCTACACATTAGCAAAGTTAAAAACAAAGGTCATTGTTAAAATTAATTTCTCCCTACAAGCTATGGGAGGCAGAAGGTAACACTCACCATGCTCTGATGCTTCCCTAGCTCACATGCTTGGAAGCTGTTTTTCCTTGCTAAGATATTTGAAGACATTGAAAGCCCTGAAATTTTTCTCTGAGAACATCGTAAAATAACAAGTAGCCAATTTTTTCAGATAATCAATGAAAACTAAGATTCCTCCATAAAAACCTTCATCATCATCATCAATAGTATTTTGCTTTTTTCCCTTTGGTCACTCTTTATCCAGCTCCATCCACAGGAATTTTTGGGAAAGGCATTCAAGTAACAACCACAAATCCAGGGAGAAGGGAAACGCTGTGTTCTCACGCCCAAGGAGCTGTGAATTGGGGTGTTTTGTATTAGGAAATGGCAATTTCTGTCTCTGTGCCAGCAGCATAAACATCTCTGGTACCCAGGAGTGTTTTGGACTGAACTCTGCCTCTTCCAGCATTTCCTCTTCACCCATTTCCTGCTTATCTGAGATTGTAGTATATGGATATTCTAGCCATTTTGCCTGTGACCTCACTGTGAGATGAAGCAGGGACATATTTAGCTACAGTACATGTTGTTCTAAATATACACAAATTATACATTAAAAAGCCTGCAATGTGGCCTACCTAATGCCTACACTAGCACACTTGTGTAGCTGGGAAAAGCCCACAAATCCTTGAAATCTGAAATAGTAGTAGCTTTGGAGTTTTCTACCCAGGAAAGACTGGAAGAGACCAACATGAATGGCTGGGAAGGAGATTTTGCAGCCAGGAGGTGTGAGATGTTTGGAGATGCTTAGAACCAGACTGGACACAGCACTGAGGAAGAGCAAGTCTGCCTTATTGCCTGTTGTGGGGCTGGATGCCAACATCATGGCTGAAGGAAGGAGCAGGGCTGGGAAACCAGAGCCAGGGGACTTGGAAACCAGGTCTAAAACTAAGTTTGTGCCAGAACTGGGTTTAGCCAGTAGTTTAGACAGGACCAGAGTAATAGTTATTGTAGGATATGGGGGTATAATTATGAAAGTTGCTAAGGCTTATGCTCACCAGAAGGCCCTGTGGGAAAAGCACAACTGCAGGCTGGATGGTTGGAAGCCGGCTGAGGGGTGAGAGGCAGCTGTGAGTGAGGGGAGAGTCAGCTGAGTGACAGCTGGAAGTGAGGTTGTGGCTGGCTGGAGGAACCCGTGTGCTGCGGTGCCTGCCCTGGAAATGCATGCCAGGCTCAGCTGGACACCGAGGTCAGCACTGGCCACCTTCCCAAACCTCGGGAGGTAAGGACCGTGGCTTTGGGTTCGGAATGCCTGAGCCCCAGGTGTTGGAATCTGTGGGTATTGGTGATTCCGAGATTGTAGAAAGTCTCTGTCTTTCTGCCCCGTTGCCAAAGAAGAAGCCATAGTTCGTCTGTGCTGTTTTCAAGGTTGTTTATTTTTGCTTATCTATAACAAGTTTTGCTGCCCTGCCGCAGGTCTGTCCTGCAGGGCAGTGTGCGGGGCTCTGCCCCTCAGTGGGATGGTACAAACATTATATACCAGAAATTACGTGTACTATATTTACAATAATGTGCCAATATCTATCATCTACGTTGAACAGTGTGTCCTCAGCCTAAACTAATAGAAAAATGCTAACATCACTAAGAACATGGAGGTAAGGAAGAAGAAGGAGGAAGAACAGGATTAGGCCCACTTTCCTCTATCTTAGAACTCCTGACCCCCCTGTATAAAGTAAAACCCCCCCCTGTACAGGTGTTAAAACCCCCCTGTACAATACTAAAAAATTTTACCCTCTAATTTGTGACTACTTTTACTATACCATTTAACCCTCTGTGACTGCTTGTTCCACCTTTAAAGTTGGTAATTTATTCCATGGTTCAAACTCAAGATCACAGCTGTTTTCTGCTGCTTGCCAGGGTCTAAAACGCTTCTGACCAAGGCCTGGAACCTCTAAAAATGTCTGAGGGACATTTTGAGTTCCGACACCCAGGGAGACCTTGGCGGTGATGACAAAGGCAAGGAGTGGTCTCCTGCAGGGGTTTGTAACCCAACTTTATTGTGCAGCTCAGAAGAGCTACCTGGGTCGGAGGGTAAACAGCCTGCAAGAGCAGCATGCAGCCCCTCACACAAGCGTTTAACAGTGGGTGGTAACCAGGGGATGGCCCTACGTGGGCCAATAGATCAAACAGGAAAATCAGGGTGGAAATCAGGGTGACATACATGAGGGAACACCAATGGGAAAGGAGGTAGGAGGAGGCCTGGCTGTCCCGCCTGTCTCTCGACGTCCTGCGTGGAACCTTCCAGAAAGAAAGGAAGGGCTGCTGAGCGATGGTCCAGGGGCGGGGCCCTCAGAAGGACGACATTTCAGGATAAGAGGGAAAGGAGGATTGACATAGGGATGGGAGGAGGCAAGGGAAGGCAGGACCACTTACATGCGGGTGCAGGACTAAACCACTTAACAAACTGAACAAACTCCATAACACAATGCAACACCAGTGGACAGTGTATGAGCAGGAAGCTGCCTGGATGGTAGGATGTGTGGACAGCAGCACTGCAGCTGAGCCAGCCAATGGGTGCCTTCTATCTGTTAAATTCTGTTAGGTCTCAGTTTGGTTTCAGTTATTTCAGGTTGAAATTAAAGGTATAAAAAGGGGCCGATTTTACAATAAGGCGATCTCCTTTGGATGCATAAAGGGGTCTGTGTTGCTTTGTTCCCATTGCTACAAGTCATGGCCGTGATGATTCAAGCAGCCCTTGCAAGTCTTTCACAGCCCCCATTCGGTGTCTGCCACGAGGGTTTTCTGCGGGCTGAGCTTGTGGTAACCCATCAGCTGATGCAGCAGCCCCAGCTCTCCACACAAATCCTGACCTTTCAACAGCCTGGAAGTGGCCCATGGTGGCCCACACACCTCTGCTAACCCTGTGCACTTTGTCCTTGCAGGTCCCCAGTGCAACGCCTCGGTGGACCTGATCGGCACATGCTGGCCCCGGAGCGCGGTGGGGCAGCTGGTGGCTCGGCCCTGCCCCGAGTACTTCTATGGTGTGCGCTACAACACCACCAGTAAGAGGGGCAGCACTGCTGGGGACACGGCGGGCAAGGGTTCTGGGACACAAGGGACAATACACCTCTGGGAACAAAGCTCATAAACCATAAAGACAACAGTGCCTCAGGCCCCAGATTTCAGGGAGGGTCGTTTCAGAGAAGCAGCTTTATAAGCAGGTCCTCCTGGGAGGAGGAGAGGGCTGATGTCCCCATCTTGGGGACACAGGCAGAGGAGTAATCCTGCCCTGCCCTTGGAGATGGTACAGGGGTCTGAAGACCCCAGCTGAGCAAAGACTGGGGGACTTTAAATGTTGTCCTCTCCTGGCACAGGTGGTTGCACTGTCCCCGCCAGTGACATGCTGGCAGTAGAGGATGTAGCGGTGTGAAAAGTGCCCAAACTCATTGCTAGCATAAGGTTGTGTTTCTGACCACCCAAGTGCTGCTTTTGATGAAAGAAATACCTTGCTTCTCACAAAAAAAAAACCATAGATTTTTCCATCCTGCACATTCTTGCATTGAGGATGGCACAGACACACAGCTCCTGCTTTGTGGTGCTCTCTGCATTAATCACAACTTGAGCCTGTCTCTGAGCCCTTCCCACCCCATCACTCTGACGAGGCTCACAGCTTCCTGTTAATGGAAGCCCAGTGCCACCCCAGTGCTGGCATTACCCCACTGCTGACACCAATGACAAGACTCTCTGGAGTGCCTGGGCCATTCCTCCCCAATCAACCTTGACACCTACTGTCCTTGCTGGGAGGCAAAAAAGCTCCTAATTCAGAGAGCAAAGTGAAACTTCGTGCTGCCATCTCAGCAGAGAGCCTGGGCTGGCACACGATCACCCAAGCAAACAGCAGAGTGAAAGGGAAAAAGAGTCTTAACTGGTGCTGCTTCTGCTGCATCCCTGTGTGTGGTGAGGAGGTGTTGGGGTCCCCCAGTGCCAAGGGCAGAGGTGGTACAGACCCAAAATTCTTGAGTGGGTCTGAAATATTCCAATATTCCAATAGGATTTTGGTTCTGCAATTGTGACCAAGGCAGTAGCTGAGCTGCCTTCAAAGCAGAAGATGCCAGGCCCGGCCTGATGCCAGACATGGCCTGATTAGTGACATCAGGTCACATGCCTGTGCCTATCCTCATGCTCTGTTAACTCTTGGATGGGCATTCTGTCTTTCAGATAATGGGTACAGAGAATGCCTCGCGAACGGGAGCTGGGCAGCACGTGTCAACTACTCCCAGTGCCAGGAGATCCTCAGTGAAGAGGTAGGAGCTTGACAGTCCCTAGGCTCTTGGCAGGAGGGTGAGAGACAGATGATGGAGTTTTGAAAGGCAACAGCATCTAGGCCAGGAATGGCTCATGGGAGCTGAGGGCTGAGCATGCAGCAGCATTCCAGTGATAAAGTTTCACATTGCAATTATGACCCCTTCTTGATCTGTATTTTTATTCCCCATCAGAGATAAAGCCATGCCTGTTTCCATCCCCATTAAAAATCCAAGAAGATTGCCAAGGTGAGGTCCCCAGGGCCTCTGGGTACATATCAGCCCTGTCACTTTCTTACAGCTCCCTTCTGACACAGCACTCAATGAAAACTCTGTCCTTCCCTGCTGGCAGTGAAATAAAGAATATATTTAGGAAGCTGAAAGAGATAAAAGAATGGGGATCAAGCCCCCGAGTAAGTCAAGCCACCCCTTGAAGCAGAGGAGAAGAGATACGAGTTTTTCATTTGCAGTTGATATCAACTCTGGTATTTAAGATGCTGATATCTCTTGCCAGGAATGTTTTTTTCACTCACTTAACTGCTTATTTACCAATTGGATGAGTGCCTAACATCAGGAGTGATCAATTAATTAAATTATCTTTCGCACTTTCCTCTGCCCAAATTCATCCTAGCCTCTCAGTTGCCCCCAGGGCAATGGGAGATGAACTGAGATGTAAGATTCCAGTGAGCTCAACTGAGTTCCAGCAGGGTTTCCCCAGAGAAGCGGTTAGGATGTCCCAGCTGTGAGCTGCTCTGGTACAAGTGAGATGTGAAACCAGGCTGGTGCCTCTCTTTCCCACATTAGCCCCATCTCCTTCCATTCCCACCGTCCTGTCCCAGGGTGAGCTCCAATGGCTTCATGAAAAGGGGCCCAGAATTTGAAGTGCAGCTGCCAAAGGTGATGTGGTGGAGGAGGTGGGTTTGTGTTAGTACCAGGGCTGCTGTTGACTCTCTGCCCATCTCCCCTACTCCCAGAAGAAGAGCAAGCTGCATTACCACATCGCTGTCATCATCAACTACCTGGGCCACTGTGTTTCGCTGGGGGCCCTCCTCGTGGCCTTTGTCCTCTTCATGCGCCTGCGGTGAGTGACAAACCTGCTGCCATGTTCCTGCAAGGTCATCTCAGGCAGGGATGGATCCAGCTCCTGTGCTTTGCCATCTACTCTGCCACAGCCACTGCCCTCCAGGCTGGAGGGATCCTGCCTATCTCAGGGTTGTCTTTCTTTTGCTGCTTTTTTAAAGCACCTAGTTATGGAGGCAGAGGGTCCTCCTTGGTGCCTTCCACTTCCTTGGTGCCCACCTCACCCAGGGCACAGTCCCAGCAGGTCACCCTTGTGGTCCCAACAGAGACACTCAGCTCTACAAACAGCACTGTCCCCAGTCCCCCTCCTCTGATGGTGCCTTATTCTACTCCTCTCCAGGAGCATCCGGTGCCTGAGAAACATCATCCACTGGAACCTGATCACAGCCTTCATCCTACGCAATGCCACATGGTTCGTGGTCCAGTTCACCATGAACCCAGAGGTGCACGAGAGCAATGTGGTAGGTGCAGCTCTTCCAGGCTGAGCCCAGTCCTGAGCAGTTGGGGGGTGTGAGGACCCTGAGGATCACAGAAACACAAAGTAGTTTGGGTCTGAAGGGACCTTAAGGATCATTTAGTTCCAACCCCCGCCATGGGATGCCTTCACTATCCCAGGTTGCTCCAAGCCCCATCCAACCTGGCCTTGGACACTCCAGGGATGGAGCAGCCACAGCTCTGGGCAACCTGTTCCAGGGCTTCGCCACCTTGCCAGGGAAGAATATTTTCCCTAAACCTACTCTCTTTCAGTTTGAAGTCACTGGGATGTGGCTACAAAAGCAACTTCAGAGAACAAATAGGGCTGGCTGGTGGCTGGTTCTCTGTATGAGAAACACGGATTTGCTTTCTCTGCTGGGGTCTGTGCTTGCACCACTGTGACAGAGCTCGACAGGCTCCGCATCTCCTGACAGGTTTGGTGCCGCTTGGTCACTGCTGCCTACAATTACTTCCATGTCACCAACTTTTTCTGGATGTTTGGCGAGGGTTGCTACCTGCACACAGCCATCGTGCTCACGTACTCCACGGACAAGCTCCGCAAGTGGATGTTCATCTGCATCGGCTGGTGTGAGTGCCAGGCTTCCCCTCCCCTAGCGGTACCCAGGGTTTAGTGGTGGGGGATGCCCCCTCCAGCCTCTGCTCCAGTTCTTCTGGCACACAAAGAGCTGCAAAAAGGAGCAGGAGGATGGGATTTGCATGGACGCCTCATCTCACTGGGTGGTTTGTGTGTGAGAAATCCTCTGTTACGGTGTGGTTTTGTGGCAGCCTTGCACCTCTGAGACTCACCTGTGTGTTCCCCTGCAGGTATCCCCTTTCCCATCATCGTTGCCTGGGCCATTGGGAAGCTCTACTACGACAATGAGAAGTGAGCCTGATTGCTCTTACCCTCCATTCTTCTTTCTGTCCCAAATCCTCAGGGATCAGTTGTGTCAGGAATTCTGTCAGGGAAGAAAAAAAGGATAATATTATTCCATTCTTTCTTTTATCCAACCTCTCAGCTCTCTGCAGGACAAGCTCTGTTCTGCTTGTTTCTCCTCAAAAGGCAAATTTGATTTTTAAGGGGAAAAAGAGATTAAACCAGATTTCCTACAATAGGTTTACTAAAGGGAGCTGGGATTTAACCAGCAGAGATCTAAATTACCCCCACCTGAGCCATTTTCACAGGCACCTGCTGATGAAGGTCTTAACAGGTACCTGAGAGTTCATCCCAGAGTGGGAAGTTGAAAGGAGCCCATTGAGATGAATGGCAGCTTGTTCTGTTTTCCAGAGGTAGTTTTCCCTCCTGGCTACAGAAGTACTGTGCTACTCACACAGGTACTGATTGAACAACCCTGACAAGGTGCTCCCAAGACAGGGATGCCCCTGAGTGAGTTCCTGCAGGGTTTGCTGAGGACAGAGCTGACCTGGACCTGTGTGTGAGGTTATGGAGAATCATGGAATATCCTGAGCTGGAAGGAACCTGCACAGAACATCCAGTCCAACCCCTGGCTCTGCACAGACACCCCAACAATCCCACCCTGTGCATCCCTGAGAGCATTACCCAGAAGCTCCTGCAGCTCTGGTAGCCTCGGGGCTGTAACCATTTCTTGGGGAGCCTGTTCAGTGCCCAAGAACCCTCTGGGGGGAGAACTTTTCATCACATCCCTCCAAAATTCCCCTGTGACACAACCTCAGGCCATTTCCTTGGGTCCTGCCCCTGTCACAGGGAGCAGAGATGGGGGCTGCCCCTAGGGAGGAGCTGCAGCCCCTGATGAAGTCTAAACTCAGTCACCTCTGCCACAGCTAAACATTACAAATGTCCTCAGTTGCTTCTCATGTGAGCCCTCCAGTCTGCTCCCTATCTTCATGTCCCTCCTTTGGATGCTCTCTAATGGCTTCGGATCTTTTTTACATTGTTGTGCCAAAACTGCCCACATGGTATGAGGTGAGGCTGCCCCCATGCAGCACAGAGTGGGGACAGTTACCTCCTTTGTGAGGAGGGTGTCCCTGCTAGTCCTGAAATAACCAGCTCCCACATCTATATGGGGCCCATAAACACTCCCACAAGCCCAAACGCACCTCCTTTTACTGAGTTCCCAGGGAAGCTATTTCACAATGGCTGCAGCAGTTTGAGTTTTAGTGCTTTCACCTCACAGACAGTGACTTACAGAGACTGTGCAAGGACAGGAGTCTATCCAAGTTATTCCCATATCAGGCTTGTCCCTAAAACCACTGTCCTTGCCTTGCAGATGCTGGTTTGGGAAGCGAGCAGGTGTTTATACTGACTACATTTACCAAGGCCCCATGATCCTGGTGCTTCTGGTAAGAGCAAAGTGACCTTTTGTGTGCTAAATAGTCCTTCTGTGTGCAGGTGGGACACAGCTGCTCCTGTACAGGGTATTGCCCCCTCCTTTAGCTTCACTCTGCTGAGGCTGGTTCTGCTGCCCCACAGCAGCACTGGCCCTCACCCAGACTGCCCCTTGAGCAATTTTGGGCTTGGGGTGCCAAGGAGCCTGGAAACCTCCCTCTGACAGGGGTCTCCCATCAGCAGACTCCAACATGCAGCAGTAGGTCCATCCATCCCTGCCATGGAACTGTTTGGGTGTGGGTGGATGCTTTGCCAAGCATTTGCAGAAGCCTGGGATCCTTGGCTCCATTCCCTGATCCTGATTCCACCTCTCTGTTCCTGGTCCCCAGCTGATTAGGTGTGCTCGATCCAAGGGTCATGTGGATGGGGCTTTGTCTTTTGGGGAGGGACAAAGAAGAGCAGAGGTAGCAGGTCAAAATCTGGGGATCCAACCGTGTGTTTGCAGGGGGGAAGCCAAAGTTCCAAAACTATTCCTTCCTGCTTGCGCAATGCTGAGAAAACTCGAGTAAAAATCACCAGCATGATGGAATAATTGATCCTGCTTCCCATTTCTCAGCCCATCAGGTAGCCAGGCCACTACTAATTCCTGCCAATTGTGTTCACCTCCAATGACTCCTTCCCATTCCCTCAGTAGCAATTCGGCAGCCAAGAGAGCGACCAGGCAGACACTGGATGTGATGACAGCCACTCTCTGCCTTAGATTCTTCCTCTCCCTTTGCTTTTTCACCTTCAGCCATTCCTCTAGCATTTGTCCTTTCTTGGCAATCTTTTGGCATGCCCTGCTGGCCCGATCCCCTGACCAAACTCCTAAATCTTATTGTTCAAGTGTTTTTACAAAAGGCAGACATCCTCTCATGGTGCACGGAAGGCAGTAGATCAGGTTCAAGAGGAAACATCCCCATTTCCCCTGGCTCCCCCTTCCCCCCCCGCCCATTGCAGAAGAAATGGGAGGAAATACTGAGAGAGCAGACACTAACCAGTGACTCTGTTCCTCCCAGATCAACTTCATCTTTCTGTTCAACATTGTCCGAATCCTCATGACGAAGCTCCGAGCTTCAACCACGTCAGAGACAATCCAGTACAGGTAAGAGCATGAGTGACCCTGCTGGAAGCCAACCTAGGAACTGGGTTCTCTCATGATTAGTGGGGATGGGAACAGCCCCATTAGCCAGGTAGCAAGGGGATGGGAGCATGGACAGACACCTAAGAGCACCTCAAATGCTCTTTGGAGGCACATGATCATTAAAGCTGGTCAGGGAGAGCCTTGTGATGTAGAGTGTGGATGGCTATTTCTGCCTTTGAAGTGAACCCTTGAGATTTCAGTCTCTCTGCAAAAGCCTGTTCTGATGGGACCTGATGAGCTCTCCAGGCTGGGAGCTGCAAATCCTGGCATAGAGGTGAGAATTAAATCACTGCTTGACAGAAAAGCAAAAGCTGAGAAAGCTGATGAATTGATGCCACCACAACACCTCCTTGTAAAGAAGACAGTACTCCCACAACACAAGGCAGGAAGATTTAACCCCTCCTTGCCTGTTGGGGAGTATTTGGCAGACAACATAAGAGGTGCATGGTTAGAGCAGCTCCCTAGAGTACCTGGAGTAGAAGACACTTTGGGCATCATCACTGCCTCTGTCTGGATCATTTTGTGGGCAGAATTGGGGAATCTTGCTGTGTGCCGGGTCAAGAGAAGCTGGTTTGAGGTGGAGGGTGGCTTTTTCAGCTGAGAAAGGAAAAATTCTGGTTCTATTCTTGGGAAAGCTACACCAGTGAATGTGCTGTACTGTAGTTTTCCAGCTCCTGTACTTGGTTTCCTCCAGCTTCTCCATGTCATCAGCCCATTTTTGTCAGGGACTATTCTCTCCTCTAAATCAGAGATGCAAAACAGGTCCCAGACCCCCTCCCTGCCCAGCTCAGACCCTCCAGGGATGACCATCTGTTGGAATCTGTCCATTAATAGGATTTTTTAAGCAAAAAGTGATGAATTGGCATTGTTCTTGTCCCCTGATCCAAAGGAATAAGATGCCAAGCCCCTATCCTTATCACACTCTCTGTATCAGCACTATGACTTTTCACAAACTGTACTTGTAATCCCATCAAGATATCAAATTAATTACCTGAGGTAAGGTTTCCACAAACTCACGTTGAAGGGTGTGAATTATTATACCCTCCTTAATTCCTTTTTAATTGCGCTGTAGATTAGCCAAGCAATCATTCCATGCCAGCTCAAGGTCAGGCCTCTGCTCTCCACTGCCCTTTTCTGGCTGGAGAAGCAGAGCAGGGGCCCAGTGCTCAAACCATCCCAGTCCCTTGGGAACTGCACTGGAAAAATGCCCAGCCTGGCTCCACCTCCCCTAGCCACTGGTTGTCAAGTCCCAGCAGACCAGTCCAAGCCATGCTGGTGCTGGGAGTGGGATGGGCAGAGTCCTTGTGCCCAGGGCTGCACTGTAGCAGCTCAGGTCCCTATTTTCTCCCTAGGAAAGCAGTCAAGGCTACACTGGTGCTGCTGCCCTTGCTGGGGATCACCTACATGCTGTTCTTTGTCAACCCCGGGGAGGGTGAGATCTCTGGGATAGTCTTCATCTACTTCAACTCCTTTCTGGAGTCTTTCCAGGTAATGGTCCTCCACACTGGCTTCTATCCCAGTCCTCTCACCAAGGGATGTGGAGGAGCCCATCCTGGCTGATGCCTCATCCCACTTCTGCCTCCTCCCAAAACCAGACATCCCCAAACCCCAGAGCTGTTCCAAAGCTCCTGGCTCGGGGGTACCTGTTGGCTGTGATTCTGCTGCTTGTCTTCTTCCAGGGCTTCTTCGTCTCTGTCTTCTACTGCTTCCTGAACAGTGAGGTGAGCAGAGTGGGCTGGGGTTTTTTGTGGGGGCCTGCATCCTTCCTTGCAAGCAGACAAGTTCAGCACAAGGCTCTACTGCTGCACAGGGCTTGGAGAGTGCTGGTCCCTAATTCTTCATCTGAAAGTCTTTGGTGATCAGAGTCGGTGCTTCACCTCCAGCTCTAGCTACATCTGCAGCCCCAGACTTTGCTGATAAAGGAATGGCTGCTGTCTGTCTCCTCCTCTGGAGGAGGAAAATCCACCCCCAAGAACAGATGCTCTCATGGTGCACCTGTGTGATTTGGTGTAGCAGAGCCAAGGGTCCTCCCCATCCCAGAGGAATCCTTCCCCAGGGTGAGCTCCATACACATGTGGATTGCACATGGGTGAGGATCTCTCCCAGGCTCTGACCCAAAACACAAACAGCAGAAAGCAAAGGAGCTGAGAGTAGAAGTGAATCCTGGGTCCAGATATTTGACCATAGGGCTCTTTCCTCTGCCTCCTCCAAATGCTTTCACACCTTTGCTGACTCAGGAAAGTTTACCCTGCATGAACTGCTTTGTTAGCAATCACATATCATTAATCCATTCCTGGCTGGAGGACTGAGGAGAAGGATGGCTGGTGCCTCTGAACAGCCTCTGTGTGATGACCAAATGTCCCTCGTTCATCTCCCCAGGTGCGATCGGCCGTGCGGAAGCGGTGGCACCGCTGGCAGGACAAGCACTCCATCCGTGCCCGCGTGGCGAGGGCCATGTCCATCCCCACCTCCCCGACCCGCGTCAGCTTCCACAGCATCAAGCAATCCACGGCGGTCTGAGCGGGAGCCAGAGGCCACACCGGGAGCCGACATCTCACTGGGCTGTGGGGAACCCCTGGGAGGGGGCACGGCACAAGAGCAGGTCCTGCTGGCAGCCCCAGCCCTGCAAGGAGAGCATGAACTCACTCGGTCATGGGACACCTGCACAGCTCCTGCCCCTGAAGGACGGGACAGCTGAGATGCTGCTTTGTCATCTCCCTGGCAGCTGTGTGACCTACTGGCATGGCAGAAAGAGCCAGAAGGACCTGGAGAGGTTGCAGCATCTTTCTGCCAGCTCCATCCTGGGCATGATGTCTCGAGGTTTGGGCATGATTTATCAGGTTTGTCTGCTTTGAGGTGACAGGAAACCAGGTCATTGCTGGGACAGCTTATGGGGCTAATTCCCTGGGAAGCTGGGTCAGCCTTCCAGTGAGCACATGCTGGAATGTTGCTGGTGGCGGGGGAACCCTCTGGAGGAGCCAAAGTCCTATGTGTTGGAAGGGGATGGATAGAGAGCCTTGGAATGACTGTAGACATTGCTTCATGTGGCTGTGTTTTTGTAGCACTGGGGTTGAGTCTTTCCCCTGTCTCTTGCTGTGTCTCCTGGTGTCCTGTAACTGCTGCTTGGTCTGACTAGGTCATTTCTCATCTTGACACCAAAGGTGGGGTAAAGCAGTGGGGTGGGAGAGCGGAAGTAACTCCTTCTCCCATGGGGATGGATCCTAGGGGTTCTGAACAGCCACACAGAGTTGGCTTATCTGGAGGGAAGCACAGGAATTAGTTAAATTCTCTGATTCAGCCCAGATGGATCCACAGGTCTCTGCAAAGCTGTGGACCTCAGGCTGACTCCATGTCCCTGCTCAGAGGGTGGAAAGGTGAGGGAGCCCTGCAGTGGAGCGGTGGCTGTGGTCCCCAAAGGCAGGTACCGCAGGGACAGGCCCTGGCTCTGCCCCCTCCTCCTTGCCCTGTTTTACCTGGGCAGATGGGCCCAGTGCCAAAGCTGCTCCTTGCTCTTGTGCAGGGGATGGGACCAAACCATCCCCATGTTGGGGTTAAGTGCCTTGGAGGAGCAGCAGCCTCCTTTCCTCCCTTCCCTCCCTTCCCATCTCCCTCACCATTCTCAGGACTCCAGATTGTCCCCAGTTCCCCCTCTCTCATTGCCCTCTTCCATGTGGTCACCAAAAGCAGCTGAGCAGAGAAGTGGATTTGCCTTGACCTCTTTGGAGCCACCTTTTCCTTGTCCCATACAAGGTCTGGGGATGCCCAGGCAGGAGACAGATGACAGCAGGTTTATGGGCTCTCTGCCTTCTGCATCCCAGGGATTTTGCCACTGGGGCCATACAGGGTGTGGTGTGAGCCCCTTCACACTCCTGTGCCTCAGTTTTCCCGCTATAAAGAACAGGCATAAATGTTTCCTGCCCTGGGGAGATTTAAGCATCTTTGAAATTGCAGTATTTTGTGATTTCCTCAGGATATACCACCAGACAGGAATAAAATCTTGCATCTTTTTATTTAAAGAGAAGCATAAGGAAAAAAACTCTGTGTTCTTTCTTCAAACATTTGTGAATTTCAGTAGTTTGGAGCAAATTCCTCCCACTTCTCTCCCATTTTGGTTTTCTACCTGCAAGTCTACAGTGCAGCAAAACTGGAGACATCCCATTGACTCCAATAATCTGCTAGGAATAGCAACAGTTCCCAGTATGACACAGTGACCACAACAAGGACCATACCCTGCACACAGGGCACGTTTCAGTCTTTGTTCAAGTTCAGCCACTGCCAACAGTCCCCAAAACTGCCCCTTATTCAAAATATGGGTGTGAAAAAGACCCCACGAGTTATGCAATGGGAAAAGGGGCAACTGCCAGCTCTATGGACACTTTCTGCTGGTACTCTACAAGGAGTAGATTTGTATCTTCTCTGTCATGGTTTCTCTGTTGGGTGCTTTGGCAGGAGCTAATAATGATCTTCTGGCAATGGAGAAGGGGAAATGTCCCAGAGAGCTTTTCTTCCTCATCCCTGCAAGTGATGTTGCCAAAAAATGACATGCTACATGTTCAATTTTGACTTTTCTAAAGTGGGGTCTTTTGGTGGAAAGAAGCTGGAAATTGAAAAACCAAAGAAAGAAACCCAAACAGAAGCATCGGTGTTCATATCACTGTTTTTCCTTCTCCTCTTGGTGGTCTGCTCCAACTGATGTGACTTTGCTTTCCATAGCTGGAGTGTGTATTCTCAGTCTTGTTTGATTAAAAATACTTCAATTCCTCTTACAAGGTCTTTTGGAGCATGTTTATCTTTTGGAAATGACAACCCTGGCATGGCCCCTCCCCAGTTTCCATGGGATCATCCTCACACTGCAGTGAGCTCAGCATCCCACCCTTTCTACCCCAACTCCATGTGCCCAGAGCATGGAGGTGGCTCTCCACAAAGGTATCTACACCATCTCATCCAAGAGAATTCCACACAGGTTTTCCAGACAAGTACCATCAGGGATGGAGAAAGTCCTCCAGGTTTTCCCCCTTGCCAGGTGAGCTAATACAGAATAAAAATGTAATGTGCTTCATAGCAGGAGGGAGGGCCAATTAAACTCGACTTTCATTTCCTGCATCAATGTTTACAAGTGAAATTCAGACATAAACAGATTTCTGGTCAAGCTCTTCTGATGCAGAATTAATTTATTCATCACACAGAGCCTTGGAGAGCACTGTAATTTAGTAAGCACCATGCACATAAATAATAATTATGGGTTCCTGCTGATTATGTGATTGTATTTAAACTTACCAATAACTCTGAGATTAATTACCTGCCAATCCAGTGCTCTTGACAAGGCTGAAGCCTCTTGGGATCTTCCTGTGTTAACCCTTTACGTTGTCCTGGTACCTTTCAGGGCTGGGAAAAGCAAAACGGGAGTCCAAGGATGGGATCTGGTGGTGCTATGGGATATCTGAGTGGGATGATACACAGGAGCTTCTCCAGCACACTGAGATGAATTTTTAGTTAGCTTGTTTATTTGGCTGACACATTAAACCCACCATGAAGGTTGCTGCCAGTCCTGGAGTCACTTCTCACCCTCAGCCCCACCACCTGGGATCAAGTTTGGGTGCCCTGAGATATATCCCCAGCAAACAAAGGGCCAGCAATGGAGAAAACCTGCCCTCCAGAGCCTGAATGGAGGCAGAGAGAAGCTCATGAAGCTTCTCCATCCTATGGAGGATCTGTGCCTTCATTCCACCTTCCAACTAGGCTGCCCTTTGCAAATATCCCCACTGCCAGAGCCAGGACCTCCCAGTTCCATGGGACATAAATCACAGGGTTTATGGCTGGTGTTTAAAGCAAAGTGGGGCTGTCATTCCCCTTCCTCAAACAACACATATCTGTCTGGTGGCCCACAGCTTTGGGCCATTCCTGGATGTTGAACCCTGCTGTGCTGTACCTTCCCAGGCACAGAGGGACTCTGGAAAGGGGGGCAGCTTGGGAGGGAGAGGAAATCTCGTGGCAGTTTTACAGCCCAGTGGGTTCAGTTGTGGCTTTCATCACTGTCCACCCCAAAATGCCTCTCATCTGTGATGTTTTGTCCTTTGAGCACTGCTAAACTCCCAAATAAATATTTAATCCTTTCATTCCAATGGCCTCTCCTTCACTGCTCTCTCCAGCATGAACCTCATGCTGATATTTGTCACCATAGTTGCAGTTAAATGGCTCTCAGACACACGTGGTGGTGGTAGGAGACAGGCAGCTCTGCCACCCTCATGAAAATTTCAAAGGGACATATATTTCCAGTGTGGAGGAAAAATAAAGATCAGAGACACAAGCGATTCCATGGGAGAGCTCTCGTGCTCAGCCATGGAGAGAAGGATGCTTGAGAAGCCCCTGGGCCGTAGTGAAGGCAGCAGAGGTGTGTGATCACACAGCCTGCTGAATTGACACCTGCACAGAGCAGGGATGGGTTAACCCCACAACCAGGAATTCGTGGGCTCACCCACAGCTGGGTCCATCCTCCCAGATGGAGGACTGTCCAGGTTTTCCAGGTTTGCTTGGAAAAAGTTGCAGTCCCTAACCACCTGCTACCAGGAGAGCCTCTGCAAGCACCATGGCTGAGATCCCTGGCCCTGCCCTCCTCCCTGTCAGGCAAAATTTTCCATGGGAAAGTTATTTTTAGGCTGCTGAAATCTGTTGCTGAGCCTCCTGCTAGTGTGGAAACTGAGGCACAGCTTTGCTATGGATTTTGGGAAATACTGGACTCTGCTGGCTGAGCACCATCCTGACAGATACCCCTGCTGTAGAGCATCCTCTAGCCCTAGAGCATCCTCTGTCCAGGTCTGAGACCTGTTTCAGGAGACACCAGTGTGAAGCAGGCTTGGGACCCTCCTCAGCAGCCTAGAGCCTCCTTCTGCCCCAAGGAAATGTCCCCAGCACCCCACCCTGACCCAGGAATTGTTGTCTGTTCTGAGCTTCCACTTCCAGCCAGCTGGCTGATGTATCCAGGTGCCCTGCCAGACCCTAATTTTGGGTGCAGCAGGAGAAGTGTCACAACTTCCCTCACTCAGCACTGTGCCCACAGGGCCAGTACCCAGTGAGCCCAATGCAGATGCTTGAGATCCAGATGTCCATATCCTCTCCTGGACCTTGGCTGCTTCCCCATTTTTCATAGAGGCAATTCACCAAGGACCTGTCCCTGCCTGCCCTTCTCAGCACACGGTGTTGGTGACATGGCTGTCAAAGCCCAGCCAGCAAAAAGTCTTTGAGGTTTCTGTGCTGAGCGTGGCTGACCTTCAAACAAGAGGTGTCAGAGACCCTGGCTCAGTCCCAAAGGATCTTTTCTGACTGCCAGGGACTATTAACATCTCTCTCCTTCCAGAAGGATGTCAGCTTTGTTGGGGATGAAACCAGCCTTTGCAAGAGCAGATAATCCAGTGATGTTTCAACCAGTAGGGTCTCCAGACCTGTGCTTGCATCTCTGGGCATGCCAGGTGAGGTCTTGGAGGGTGGATAAGTCTCTTCCTGCAGTGGGATGGCTGGAGAGTCCCAAGGAGCTGGTGGCTCTGAAGAATCCTGTGGGGATGTGAAATATGGGGCAAAAAGGGGAGCCCTGGGTTAAGCACTTCCAGCAATCCCAATAGCAGAGCACAGCAGGAGCCAGAGACCTGGAGAAACACAAACAGGGGAAATTGCAGCCTATGAATGAAACACACGAGGATCTTAGTACATGTCAGGAAAAGGCAGTGGGACTCTGCCAGCTAGTTCAAAAGGAAAATAGGATGAAGGAAAAGCCTTGGACTATAGGCAAGAATAATTGCATCCTGATTGGAGTTTGAGTGACACTCCATCAGTAACCCAAGCGAGAGTAATAGAAATGCTCATGTTTCTGATTAAAATTATTTGGATGGCTAAAGGGAACAATATTTTAATGCATCGACGTGGTTAAGGTGTGTTTAGAGGCTGCACATTGAATAATAATAAATCAGCACATAAAGTAGACTTTTTTTTTCCTCTGGGGAATGTCCTAGCCCATTTGCATGGAGGGAGTGCTTTCCATGCAGGGAGTGCTGTGTCCAGCTCTGGACACCCCAAGAAAGAAAGGACATGGAACCTTCTGCAGTGATTCCAGAGGAGGACACAGAGGTGCTTCTCTACTCTGGAGATACGCAAGAAGAGCTGGGGTTGTTCAGCTGGACAAGGCTCCAGGGAGACCTTAGAGATCCTTCAAGTGCCCACAGGGGCTCCAAAAGAGCTGGAGAGGGACTTTGGACAAGGGCCTGGAGTACCAGGAAAAGGGGGAATGGATTTCCACTGCCAGAATTGAAGTTTGACACGTAAATCACAAACTGGATCAAAGTGCATCTCACCCACTTCTGAAGCAGTCCCACTGCTTCCACCAGGATCAGGGGCTCCCAACACAACTGAGTCCACCTGCATTCTGGTCCCCAGCTCCTTATCAAAACTTTCATCAGCTTCCTTGTTTCTTTGGTTAGGAGGGCTCTAACTCCTTTTCTCCTTGCTGTTAGCCCTTGCACAGAAACCCAACCTTAAAAGGAATAACCCCTACATATCTTAGTTCAGATCAGCTTACAAAGGCTCCATTCATCTCTTTTGATCCCCAGGGTAAAATTTCTAGTCTTAAATAATTAATTCTGCTTGGTTGGGTTTGTTTTTTTCCAAAGAAAATACATTTCCCGCCACTAAATTTCCCACCTGTGTGTAATTCCCATGTTTTTCCGTTTCTTTTTCCAAAAGCAGTACCCCCACACATAATGTGATAGCAAGGAACAAAACCTAGCCCAGTACCCAGAGATTTTCTTCTATAGAAGTTACAACTCGGGCATGGTACATCTAAATTGTGTGGGGAGCTTTGAAGGCCCTGGCAAAGCCCAAATCATCACAAATCCCAACCTGGCAAAACAAGGCACGAGTCAAGCACTGCTGGAGAGGAGGAAGTGTGGAGCCAGTGCCATGGCAAACAAAGGAAATCTAAGCAAAATGGGAAGCAATTAAAAGAGAATTAACTGGGCTGCAGGAGGAGAAAATTGTTTCTTTCAAACAGTCTTGATTATAGGGCTGCAAAGGCCCAAAGCTCCCATGGCTTATCACCAGTATGAATATATGAAAAGGTTGTTAATCAGGATTGTCAGAAGCTCTCCCAAAACCAAACATCCTCACAAGACCGAGGGCTGGCAGGGAACTTTGATGTTGCCCAGCTTCGTCTGCTCAGCCCTGACTCATGAATACACCGGTCAGAAGAGGCCAGTGGCTTGTTGGTCTTTCCAGAAAAGGGCTGGGGATTTCACACTGGTGGTTGGGAAGGCGACATCTCTGGTGGAGCTGGATGGAATTGGACCCTCAACAGCCTGTCCCCATCCCACACAGCCCTTCTCCTTCCCTGACATCCTGAGAGGCAAAGGCCAACTGGGAGAAAATGCTACTCACTTTCAGAAATTTAGAAAGGTTTATTAAACCTTATCAAAAATACAACAGAAGACTGAATAGAGAAAATATTATGGTGCCGGGAGCAAAGGATTTTTCCCACCATGTGCTCAACCACACAATGGCAGTTTCGATTTTTAACCCTTTTACCCCTCCCAAACTTCTGTCTATCGACCCCTTCTTCGCTGTCCAGTGGTGGAGTTTACTTCCTTAAATCTTCATTGGAGGTCAGATGTCACCATTGTGACAAGTCGACCCTCCCAGATGTCCCAACCCCGGCTGTCCCTTGATAACAATGCAAGGGGATAAAGCATAACTATAAATCTATAAAGCTTTTCTTAACATATAT